GTGCCTTTTATTTGGCGAGGTTCGTCTCAATTCCATTTTTAAAGGATGCCATTTTTTATTACCTTTAACAATACCAAACCTTACAGCCTCTTTACAACTAAAATCTCATAACTTGTCAAAAGTTTAATAAAAGAAGTTTAGCGAATGAGTGTTTCGGGAGTAGTAACAACAGGTACTAATACTAATTTTGTCCAAATGAACTAAGCGAATGAAGGGACGAACAAATTAGCGTCAAATTGTGTCATAGAACACCTAATACAACTTAATCAAATGACATCAAATAAACAAGAATAACATAACACAAAAATAAACCAAAATGCATACGGTGAAAACATAAGCAAAAAATTACCATACCAATTTCTATATTGCATCTTTGAACATTCAAAGTAACGTTTCCTTATCTAATACTTGAGGTTTACTAACCTGAACAAACAGAAACGGATAGAGCCGTGGACCAGCCCTCAACATCGACCTCAACGGATAACCTCGAACGGGAACCCATGGAAACAGTCATCAAAGCTCAAACGGAATAGCTCGCGCCAGAAACTCGAGCACGAACAGACTGAGAATGAGTCATGGCTGTTACTGGTTTTTCCCGGTAGTCATTTGGACGCGAGGGGCTAAACAGAAGTCACTATGGGCTGGACGTGGAGATGGGGGAGGAGACAACGTTTTTGTTGATGTACGTTGCTGGTTTTTCCTGGTGTGTTGCTGGTGGACGTTCGTTACTTTTAGGGGATGGGTTCGACGGAGTGCCGGTTGAGGGTCATTTGGCAAAGTTGGAGTTCAGTGGTCGACGAACGTGAAGGAGGTGAGTGGTTCACTGGTAGTTTGGGCAGTATGGTCGAGGGGCAGCGACGAAGAGGTTTGGAGGGGTGACGACGGGAGGGGCTGTGGTCGCCGGACTGTTTGGTTCACTGTTGTGCGCGAGGAAGCGACGGGGAGGCTGGTTGTGGTCACCGGACGTGAGGATGGAGATGGTTTCGATGGAGGAAGGAGGCGAATTACTGGTTTTTCCGGTGATGAAAGGGGTCGTTTGCTGGTTATTACGGAGAGGTTTGGAGGTGGGGAAGACGATGGGGGAAGGACGTGAAGCAGCTGCAGCAACTACTGCTCGACGGGGTGGTCGACGCGACGGAAAACTGGTATCGTTTGGACGTGAAAGAAGAAGAAGCAATGACCAACCTTTTTGTTTTTTTTTTCGTTTTCTTCAGTTCAAAAGATGAAGAAGAAGGTGAACAGTGCCTTCTTCCAATTTGTTTTCAAAATTTTCTTTTTTCTCCTCCCCCAGCTTCTAGCCTTGTCCGTGTATATAAAAGCATGTGATGGGTCTCACGTGTACAAGTGTGAGAGACAAATATCTCCAAATGTGAGCCCCATCACATTGTGTTCTGTTCATGTTCCCCATGCGTGTCCCCCATGTGTGGGGGGTTTGGATTGTTGTGGGCTAGGTCCGAAAATTAGGCCTAAAAACGGGTAGTTTCAACCCAAATATCATTCTTTTGCCCAGACCCAAGAATAAGAACACGACGTTGTTCAATTAATCCTATGTAAGTAAAATATCTACCAAAATAAGACTGACATTTGAAACAAAACTATTTTTTAATATTTTTTCAAGATTAAAATAGCTACAAAACATTAATAAAGCTATTTTGTAATTTTCGTTTTTTATATAAAGATAAAATATAAAGTATTGTTTTTTTTTCTCTAAAGATTAAAATGACTATAAAATGTTAACGAAACTATATTTTTTTTGTAATTTTCGAAATTATACGAAGATAAAAAATATAAAGTACCATTTTTGTATTTTTCAAGTTTATGAGAAATGCATAAACTAAAATTTATATATATATATTTTGTAATTTTCTTTTTGTGACGAAATAAAATAAAAATAGTCAAAATTAGCTAAAATAGCTATATTAGACCTAAATTAAATATTTACGCTAAAAATGTGAAAATTCTCGGGGAGGGTCAAAAATCATACTTCTACAACTAAGAACAGACAAATGATAACAACAAACTTTAAATTAATAACTCGTATAATTTTATTAAGAGTATCCGCATACGAGGCCTTGTATACTCGATCAACTTTTCTTTTTCTCGTAGCCACAAAGATGTCCTTGCTTGATAGAGGCTCAGAAGTTTCTTTCTTTTTTTCCTGATTATATAAAAAGTGGTATAAAAATATCTTGGACTAAAGTTAATAAGTTCATATTTAAAAGAATAATAATAAGAAAAAAAATATCAAACCTCGCATATTCGAGCAAAACTTCTTTTGCCAGCAGTGTGTGGATATTTCAACTTTTTGCGATTCTCGGTATTGGTTTGGGACATTTTCTGCAAATCGGCCAATAAATACAAAGTTGTCAAGTTCAGTTGTCCCAACAGATTCAAATCAAACTTAAATTTTGCACTAGGTCATGTTACCTAAGTGCATTTGATGTATAAAAATAATAAAGTGATTTCTAATTAAACATAAACCAGAAATTCTCAGCAAATCATGGGACAGTACTTAGTTTTACCTTGTAGGCATTAGAGTTCCAATAATTAAGAAGATCCCTAAATTGAGATTCAGAAACATCAACCGGCCTTTTCTCCATTCGAAGCTCGTCATTCTCATAGGGTTTATAATGGTCGTTAAATAGTTGATTCTTATACCTTCTCCAAGCATTCTGAATCGAATCAAAAACCCACCTTTTTGCAGCATCAGAAATATCATATTTTCCCTACAAATTTAATTTGGTACAGTTAGGTTAGTGTAAAAATATGAAATATCTACACAGAATATTGCGAACTTCAAACCTTGATATATATCCACATATCTTCTTTTGTTTGAATTTTTCTCCAATTAAACACATTAAGAGGACAAAAGGTCGCATTCCTTGCCAATGTGCCGAGGAAGCTACCCAACTCTGCTACAACATCACCAGTAGGACCTATGGGTTGATTGTTCTCGTTTAGCACAATTAGCTTGCGCTCTTTCCTACCATGAACACTTGGCATCAAAGTTTTTCCTCTTTTTCTTTTTTCGTCAGAAGGACCTGCATTAATATTAAGTAAGAATAATCACCATATATCACGTGCATATTGTTTGCTAATTTAACGAAATAAAATTTATATGTTTTTGCCTTGTTCCTCAGATTGTTCGTTTGTTTCATGATTGGAAGAATTCTCAAATTGTTCATGTACCGTTTGTGAAGTACGAGTGGTGGAATCCAGTGGCAGTTGCTGCAATTGTTCACGTACTGCTTGTGATGCAAGATAGGTAGAGTTCAGTGAGTTTTGTTGCACATGTTCATGTACATTTTGTGTTGGAGGAGAAGTAGAAGGCTGAGGCAGTTGCAACAATTGTTCTTGCACTTGAGATCCTAATTGCGGAAGTTGTTTTTCAATTAAATTCAGATGATGCTTGTCATTTGTCCTTGTAGATTGAACAATTCTTTTTGTTTTCAATGATGAAACTTTTTGGTTCAGCAAAGATGCAAGTGATCCAGCTGCAATGCAATTTTTAGCTTTTTTGTTTTTACTTGAGTTGCCTTCCTGATTCATGACTATTCAAATTCCTGTCAAATTCAGAAAATTAAATAAAAAATAAGTTATCAAAGCATTAACAACAAGACCACTAATATGCTTGAAGAAGGAAAGGTGACATGCACATGCATGATAATGAAACCATGGACTTGCTTAAGCTTAAATATTTCATGTACAAAGGCTACAACAAGAATCAAATGGAGGCTACAGGAAATAGAAGCAAAAAGCAGCAGAAATATGCAGGCACAAACTCATGGACAGCACTTTTTTTGCTTTACAATTTTGGACACGAGGACCGCAATCTGGGCTGAAGATGCAATGCAATATGATGCTATGTTACCTCAGGAAGTATTGCATCCACAAAATACAGCAGGAGCAGAAAAAGAAATATGCAAAAAGGACAGTACAAGTATAGGCATCGCATAGTACTTGACAGTACAAATACTCTCTACAGGTATATTTAATGAAAGCGTGCACTACTGGGAGGAAATTCTAGACAACTGGACAAAGCAAATGACAATACAAGTTCAGCAAATACAGCCTCAATGTGCTATAGGCTTGACAGTAGCTATCACTATGTAAAGAGGCTATTTGTGCAAACACGAGGCAGCATCACAGGGGAGTACCTCACTCACCTTTGATAATAGGGTCTATGTATTTATTAGAATGTTTAGAGAAGACAATAGTAACACCGGATGTTACAAGGCTACTGAACCAATTTGTGAAGAAGTAAACTGTCCGTGATGGTGATTCGAGTCCAAGGGTACTTCCTGCGCAAGTTTATGAAATTTGGGAATGGTAGAGTTGTCTCTGAGTTGTTTGGATCATAATTGGCTCTTTTTTATGCTTCATATGGACAAATAAGCTGAAACTTAGTTCGTACCTGCCAATATTCACTGATTGTGTCGACACCAATGATGCCAAGGTCTAAATCTCCTGATACCAACTTCCGAACAATGTCTTTTGGCCGTTGAGACCAAATCTGAACCAAATTAAATATCTGTAACCCACAAAGAAAAAGAAGGCGTGTAATTAAAGTAGACCATGTGTTCTCCTAAATAATAAGCTCTAGATTCCAAAGAGATAATCCAAAAAAAATGCAATGCTTAAATTAGACATTTCCATGCAGCTTCGACAACTTATTCACTTAAATACAACATTGTGATGAAAAGCATGCTTCACCACTCCTATCTCCTAGGCTTAGAAATATTAACAGACCTGCATTATGCAGAGGGAGTTTAAGCACATGTTCTGTTGGTTTCACAATAGAGCTAAGAGCAGGCACACATCTCACTAAGACATGGTCACCTTAATAGTTAAACTAACNGTGGATCTTTGGAAAAGTCAGGATGTAGAGAATCAAAATCCTTCCAAGCTTCTCCATCAGTGGGATGCCTCAAATTCCCATCATTAGGTCGTTCATTAGCATGCCATCTCATTGCAATAGCTGTTTCAGGACACATGAATATCCTCTGAAGCCTAGGCTTCAAGGGAAAGTACCTTAAAACATTTGCAGGAACTTTAGAACTTGTATTAGTCAAGGCATGATTAGAACGTTTCCATCTAGAAGACCCACAAACAGAGCAATTATCGGCCTTTGCATTGTCATTCCAAAATAG